ATACCGAGGATCGATGCTCATGGTACTCACGGGATTGTCTGATCCAGAAACGAATTGTACAGATAGTCTTCATATAGACAAACACGCAGTCTCTTAAATTAACATTTTTACCGAACAAATGGCTCCTAAAATATAATTATAACATAGGATGAAGCACAGTGTGCGAAATAGCCACTGGCACGCTAGCCCGTGGCTAGTAAAAATCCAGTCGGGCCAGTAAATGGCCACAGTCACTGGCCCGACTAAATAGTAGGGTTGGGTATTGCCAAAATTTTCGTATTGCGATATATGTGATGGCGTATTGCAATATGTATTATAAAACATATAAACAAAATTATAAGCGTACAATCGCAAATCAAAAGTGCAATATTTTGTACTTGGGTTTACTTCCCAAGAAACGAAGCACCTGGGAGACCGAACCCAGTCAGAGTGGGTGGGTGTGCACTCAAGTGTAACGGCTGGTTCATTTGCCGATGCCCTCATTGTGTGTGTGTATATAGAGATGTTGGGTTTTGTAAATACATGCTCATTTCTTGTGTATAACATTTTGCAATCAACAGACATCATAACATGTCATGTGTACAAGTATCACACCTGCCTGTCTGTGTAATTACATAATGTGACAGAGACCGAACTCGGGCCATAATTCAATGCGTTTTGTTTATGGTGTATAGCCTGATAGGTCACAGTTAGAAATTCTGTCAACGCTGAATAATGACATTGCTTTTAAGTATCGAACTGAGAAAGTGACTCTGTAAGAAGAACGTGTGGTGAAATAGACAAATGAAATTATATAAACAGTTAAATCGGTAATCTACTGTCATAACATATAAAAAGCTCGCGCATGTGAAATATCAACAATACATTAGAAAAATAGCTCACATCAAAGCCTCCTGACTCGCAGTACTCACCGCCAGGAAAGGTTTTCCGTCTTGAAATGTCGAACGCCTCACTGGTTGACACATAGCTGAGTAGATCTAGATCCTTACAAGGTTCTTTTATGTAACGAGTAGATTATTTACTATTTATTTGTGTACACAACCAGGATTAGACTACTCCTGCTCACGACCTTATAATCCGGGCATGCATCCTGTTTCAAGCTCCGCGAACCGTTAGGAGCGCAGCGCATCATAGTTGTTGAACCACTTTTCCCCCAAGCGCTGGGGGAAAATTAGTGAATCGTTTGAACTCCGATTTCGCGCGGTTTTTTCATCGCGTTATTTTTCAACTTTTTAAGTTGAATTTGCATTTTTGATGATTTGTTTCGGTTGGTCCATACCGAAAGGTATCAGAATCTGCAAAGTTATGTTTTACGTTGCATGTGACCTTTTAAGCAACAGTACACTTATAAATCATGCAAGATTATGGCCTGATAAAAATGTTTATCATATTTGTTTTAGCAGCTTAATGATGAAACCCGTGTCTACATTCAAATTTCGGGCTAGTGAATTATTTCGTGGGCGAGTAACTTTCAGGCATAGCTAGCCCGACTGGCTGGCAAAATGTGGAAACTATTTCGCACACTGAACTGACGACAAAGGAACTCAGAGACTGTGTTCATTCCCAGGCTTGAAACTGTGGTAATCTATATAGACGTGGCTAGACTTGCCACGTGTCCTGTACTTGCATGGGATTTTTTGGATACCTTTGTTTAAGGTGAGGTGAGTTGAAATTGGGTTTAACGTCGTGCTTGAGAATATTTCGCTCATATGACGACGTGAATGCGTGTGTATGTGTATGTGCGGCTGCTTGTACTAGCCCAGACTGAAGCAGGTTTTATAGTGCTAGCCCACTGAGATACCATGCCGCAGTGAAGCATGAATACCCCACTCAGACACATTATACTGTCTCCGAGCCGACCAGTCCTTGTTGTACCCATTAATGCCGAGCGCCAGGCAGGGACCAACAAGTACCATATTTTAACGTTTTTTGGTTTGACGCGATCGGGGATCAAACCTGCGACCTTCCGCTCTCCGGACGGACGCTCTAACCACTACACCACGGAGGCGGTCCCTTTGTTTAAGGGTCACGGGGCTTGAATATTGCTGAGTGCCGTGCTAAACAACAAACACATAAACCAAACGTACATAATAATTGCATTACTGACTGATATCGCCTGTTCCTCCACAGGTGTACACAGGCCTTCATACACCTGCAATTAGTTCTCACGCTATACCTATATTCAGTGCCGTTCCAGCCATCAGAACCTGCACAACACCCAGCGACTACAAGTCGATCATTGCACGATCATGTATGATAGTGATCCAATCCTTCATGTATTCGCAAGACAATAAATAAGATACATATAAAACCCCTCTGGGTCTATAGGCTATGACTTCGAGATGTAGTTTATTTAACCTTTAAACAGGGTCATCCAAACAAATACACCTCAATGCCATACTGAGGTTACAGATCGTAACACTGAGAAGGAATGTGGTGTGGCATTTCATTCATACCCCGAACACACAGTAAACCATACAGGCCCCTAACATGGATGACATACAGACTGAAATGATTAGATGGAAGGATCGAGATTAAATAAACGCTGGAGTATGTGTGAAAATAAATGACGATAATTTACATGCGATTCAGAATGAGCAAGATTGGGGTTCGTTCTTTCTCACAACTGCGGGTTTTTTGTCTTGAGGAAGACAACCGGGCTGTATCTCGGCTTCACAACTATATCCAAGTCACTTCTAACAGTATTAATGCATTCATTTGTGTATTTCAGCATGGTCGTGTGGGTATTTATGATTGACAAGCAGCTGTTGTGAGAGGAATTCTGACATATACAATACCATACCGCGGTACCTGGTTCTTAAACAATGTCTGTGTGCTATACACTGTTTACATCTCATACATCAGTCAGCTTATAGCCATATGTTCTCGTCATAACACAGAGAACTAGCTGACTCACATGCCATCCATAAATCTATAGACTCCTTGTATTTAGACTGACTGACTGACTAAGTTTTGGTTTTACGCCGCTTTTAGCAATATTCCAGCAACATCGAGGCGGGGGACACCAGAAATGGGCTTCACATATTGTGCCCATGTGGGGATTCGAACCCGGGTCTTCGGCGTGACGAGCGACGCTTTAACCACTAGGCTACCCCACCGCCCCTCCTTGTATTTAGAACATACCTGTCACTGGAAAAATCTAAATCTTGATGATGACGTCGGATTATTTTTGTAGTTGAACGCTATACTCAGCAATTATTCCAGGTATATGGTTGCAGGCTTTAATAATCGAGTCTGGATCAGACAATCCAGTGATCAACAGCATGAGCATCAATCTACGCAGTTTAGATACGAAGACATATGTCAACCAAGTAAGCGAGTCTGACACCCAATCCCGTTAATCGCCTCTCCTGAAGTTTTTGGAACTTTTGGAACACAAAGGTCTCAAATAAGTATCAAATTGACTACTCACTAAATATCGAAATGTTACATGTTTGAATCCTACTAGGTAAACGAACTGCCTTGCCTAGTGGGTAAAAGTGTTAAAGTAGGTCCCAGTTAATTATGCATCAGAAGTCGACATGGTGTCATGGCTGAATGCGTGTCATCGTTTCAAGGCAGAGTGGATTTGCTCACCATATCAACCACTGGTTTGTCTCCACTGTTTACAGGTCGACGTGATATAACTATGCAAATGAGTGTGACGATAAAGATTAATCCACAGACCTCCATTCAGCATAATGCAGCTGATATTGAACAGCGCAGTCATTTAGAACCGAACCGACATGTTTATCAGAGATTTCCATTAATGCCTTTTATGTAGTTGAGTCCGACACAGTGGGATACACTGGATTTACGTTATGGTCGGTTTTGCCTATTTATAGCCTGTTTTAATATTGCCAATCAACTTCTTGTTTCCGTTAAACCAGGAATATATATAATACATCACCGGCTTCCTTTTTTCTGACAGTGAGTATATACATCAAACCTTGTATATAATCTCAAACTGCCAATACCTTCCCTGGTTTTTCCAATTTCTCGTCTAACAACATTCGATAACCTCATTTAAAACATGAACTGGCCAAACAATCCATGATTGTGGTTTGTGCATTTGAATCTGTTCTTCGTTCGACATGTTGTAAGTGAAAAATCAAAGGTAACTGTCTCTCAGGAAAATCGAAGTGAATTTAATGGCACTGAAGCTCCTATGAATTAAGGTGGTAAGAGTTACCTCCCTTTAATGGACCCGCTTTACGATTCTACCTCTAGGACGATTACGTTTTCAATGTCAATTCTTCAGGCATTGGCGGATCCAGAAAGGGTGGGGTGGGGTGGGGTGGTGGTTCACCTTGAAATTGACTTAAGACCACATTGAAGATTTTGTTTTGCGTTGGCGGAGCCATTGGGTGTGTGTGTGTGTCAGGGGTTCGAAAACACCCCACCCCCCCTTCAAAATTTCTGGATCCGCCCATGTCAGGTGTAGAGTGAGCTTCTGCATTATTACATGGATATCGCGACTCGTAGGTCACACTTCAATAAACCTGTTTCCCTTTGACTCTTTTTCTCTCTGATCTTGTTTTCTTCATGCGGATGACATTATGGTATATTAGTATTGTGCATTCCTTGAAACGTGTACAGTAGATATTTTCCAGATCCAAAATACAATTTACAGGATTCTAATGACTTTAATACCATTAATCGTTTGTCTTCTTAATGAAACAATGACGCACATGATAGGAATATTTCCCATTTATCAGGAACAGTATCTTATCCCCCTCCTGGGCCAAGTTGTATTTGTCAGTGAATAAAAAGGAGGATATATCTTAAGTGCGCATGCGTGTCAGATTGGAATGGTTTCTCAGCCGGCTTGCATCGTAACATTATTCCGGATCAAGCACTAGCTATATTAGTTCAATAATCTTCAACACATCTTAAACGCCTTTTCACCTTATCCGGGCTTCCTAACCACTGCATATATATCATATAGACAGCCGTAGTTTTGTCATCATTTCCACACTAAAATGAAAGTGAAAGTACAAGATGGGATAAGGAGTTCTTTTTTAACCACTGGTTTGTTTTGAAGACACAAGCAAATCATTTAGAAAGTGTTTTGAAAGTTACCAGGTACGCTCACGTGAATAAGAAATTTGTTCATTTAAACAATTCATGTAAACAGTACAGAGGAGAGCATAACGTGTAGAACATGGCTGATTTCAAGAGGTAATGATCAAACTCCATCCTCGATTATCTCTATTTTTAGGGTATACGTTACGATCACTCTCAACTATATGTGGAGAGTGATCGTAACGTATACCCTGGAGATTATCGAGGATGATCAAACTCTTGCTCGAATACTCTTGCACCTGAATCAATTCGATTATTTTTCAAATATAAGTTACTGGTGGCTGTGGCGTTTAACAGCAGTGGTGAGTTACCCTGAATGCTATTAACTGAATTGTTTGTTGTGGTAACTGTATATTCGTGGCGAGATGTTGAATTTGACAGTTTCTGCAACTTATGTTCCATACTTACCGCCCGGTACAAGACGACGGAAATGTCTGGTCGTTTTAGCATTAAATTGCAATGAGACACTGGTTAACCTCTGATGGTTTTGAGTTATAGCAACAGTACCTCTCCTTCTGGGTGCATTTTCGTGTTTTATGTTTGATAAACACTTGTTGACTTATTCAGTCTTGTGAACCCTCTGTACCAGAACTGTGGTAACCTACGCTGACGTAAATTTTAATACCCAAAAGGTCCGTATGCGGGTGATTTTATATCATGAAAATATTATCCGAAGGTTAATTCGCTACTTTTTGAAGCATTCGTAAAATGTTTCACATTACATTGGTGAATTGTCTCAAGTCAAATCCGTAGACCAGTTCTTATTACACTGTTCATTTGTCTCAAAAAACACCCTAAGACCAGTAATATTACACTACCCAGATTTAACCCTTAGTCCAGATCATACATATTACACTGTTTGTCTCAAGCCTAACTGTTGAAGCCAGTTCATGTGGTCGTCAACAAGTTAGCCAGCTATAGACTGACTGAACATTGTATGCTGCAGTAAGCAATATTACAGATGAGGTGAGGTGAGGTGAGGTGAGGTGAAATGAAATTTTTTTACGTCGTGCTTGAGAATATTTCGCTCATATGACGTCGTGCATGCATGTGTATGTGTATGTGCGGCTGCTTGTACTAGCCCAGACTTAAGCTGGTTTTATAGTGCTAGCCCACTGAGATACCATGCCGCAGTGAAGCATGAATACCCCACTCAGACACATTATACTGACTCCGAGCCGACCAGTCCTTGTTGTACCCATTAATGCCGAGCGCCAGGCAGGGACCAACAAGTACCATATTTTAACGTCTTTTGGTTTGACGTGGTCGGGGATCGAACCCGCGACCTTCTGCTCTCTGGGCGGACGCTCTAACTACTACACCACAGAGGCGGTTGATGTATGAAATTTGTTTCTTTGAAGTGTAGTGTAACTCAGCAATATTCCAGCTATACCATGGAGTCTGAACCTGACAATCTTGCTACTGGCATGAGTGAGTGAGTGAGGTTTCCAGCAATTTCATGGCAAGGGGACATAAGAAATGGGCTTCACATATTGCACCCACATGGGAAATGAACTGGGGCCTGTGGCTTTACAAACCTTTTAACCATTAGCCTTCCCAACGCCCCAACTGGCGACATGAACATCCATCTCTAGGGACAAAATGACATAAATCGGCTGAGTCAGCTAAGGTGACCACCTGATCCTGTTTATCACCCACCCTATAAGCATGGGTTGCTGAAGATCAGCTGTAACCCAGATCTTCAAAGGTCAGCTGTATCAAATTAAACTAAGCTGGATGAGTGAGTTCACTTTTAGGCTGCACTCAGTAATATTCCGCTATATGGTGGCAGTCTGTAAATAATCAAGTCTGGGCCAAACAATCCGGTGCTCAACAGCATGAGCATCGACCTACGCAATTGGGATACGATGACATGTGTCAACCAAGTCAGAGAGCCTGACCACCCGATCCCTTAGTCACTTCTTACTACAAGCATGGGTTACTGAAGATCAATTCTAACCCCGATCTTCATGGGTCAGTAGCTGGATGAGTGACAGAAGCAGCAGCTGTCATAACCTAGTCAGCAACATTACAGTTATATCACACAAGCCACTGCCTGGTCAGCAGACAGTACAAGCACCATTCTACAGACAGTAAAACCTGTCTTCCTCTGTCTGCACAAAAGAAGCACACAACAATATATCATTTCAAAACAAATTTATTACTGGTGTATACTGCAAATGCATATTCGGTTATCCATAAAAAAATCTAAGCTATACTTTGCAGGTATTGACTTATGTCCCTGAGATGTACGACATATTCAGACACGAAACAGTTGAGGTGTTCATGGTTTTGGCAACAAATACTACACAATAACTTTCATTCACTTCTCAGATTACCACAGCAACATTCATATTAGAGATTATCATTTTATCTAAAAAGTCTTGAGAACAAGCTGTCAGTTGTCCTTAATTATGAAGAACCTGTAGTATAGGAGCACCAATGTCTAGCAGTATTAATCTTCATGACTTTTCTATTTCAATTCCTTCAATGAATTGATTTTCTTAATACAAATGCTTATACTGATGTCTAGAAATGAAAATATAATTTCTGAAGCAATATTCAAAGAGTAGCGCACATTAGATATGTATCAGGAAATAAAATCAATCTGGCTGTCTTAAAGCAATTTACTTAACAAGTGTTCGTATTCGATCTTCAACTTCAAAGCATTAATAAAAACTATATTTCCTGGGACTACTGGAATAAAAAGTGAATTTATTATCTTGTGATTTTCAAAACTGTCTCATTTTACACTCAGAGCAAATTAGTTTGACATAGGTCTACAAAGAAATATATGTTTTCAAGAGGTTTTTGATTAATTTGACAAAAAGAAATAAAACAGTTATCCTCCTCCACAATTAAACAGGAAAATATACAAATGAAAAAATGTATTAACAGAAAAGTATGTCTCCTGGTTATCACACAAATTGCTAGTAATATGATACATGTAGATCTAATCTACATTACTAGACAATACTACGTCACAGAGCATACACTAGAGCAAATGTTGTGCCAACCCGTATTACCGTACAAGGAAAAAATAGTGACCAACAAACATACACATTTCCGCATAATCATGTCTCAGTTGAGCATATTTGTGTAGAGCTGTACATTTGTTTCAAATGATGATTGCTAATTTTTTAAACTATTTTGCAAAAGACAATTGTGGTGATTGCAAATTAATCTTGAAGTTTAAATACAATATATAAATTTCACAAATGAATAGTTTCACCTATCCGATATATCCTACATACTTGATACATAAATTCATTATCATACACTTTCACAGATTTTCCGAAAAAAGAACATACGATTCAGTTGGTTTGGGTAGAACATGTACAAATTATCATTTATAATTCATACATTTCATCACTTTGACACAACGATATATTTACAATGGCAGTGATAGGTTTTAATATGCATGGTCTACCACATTCAACACAAGCTACAGAACCAACAACTCTTTGACCTGTGACAACAGAGGTACCGCCGTGATCTGTTGGAATAACTGATCATAATCACCGGGGGTTATATAATTGATTTTTTTACATTATGGCAAAACTGAAATTCATAAAATAACATATGGGTATAGACAATATCAGCCTCGTAGTTCTATCTTCATATTGTCACATGATCACATCTTGAATGTTAGTCATTCAACCTACAGTTGGTCTGTTAAGGGACGAGTTAATATTGACTTTTTCATCACGTTTCCTGAGATGCTAGTTTCTGATGTTTAAGCTGCATGAACTGTAGCCTAACTTGTCCCATATCAGTATTATTATATACAGAAGTTTGTGAAACAGCAGTAAACAGCTTTTGGAATACATGGAAATGTAACACTCGGCAGATTAGTAGTGAGTGAGTGAGTATGGTTTTACGCCGCTTTTAGAAATATTCCAGCAATATTGAGGGACACCAGAAATGGGCTTCACACATTGTACCCATGGGGGAATCGAACCGCATCGGTTTAGAAACATTTTAACCAGCACCCCATGTCGCCGCAAGACTTAGTAATAACAGATCCACAATGAGATATGATTTTGTAGATTATTTTTCAAACCTTTTGAAATAGAAATAATATACAGGTATATTTAAATTGTATATATATTTCCAATCAACACTGCTTGGGTTGGTTAAATGAAGCAAAAACATGTTTGATGGGGGAGTGATGAGAGTAAGGAGTACTTATCTCCCCTTTAAGAACTTTTGAAGTTTTTTTTCAAAGTTTTTGCTTCAACTGCAAACTAAGCAGGGATAGAAATACTTTTTTTTGTAAGTGTGCCTTAGGGCACCAGACAAATATTTTAGGTGTGCCTTTCAGAAATCAAGTATGCCCACATATTTTTAGAATAAATGACAATGATGATAATCATTTGAAATTTAGTGTTAAATAAAGAAATGGGTTTATGAGCATTCAAATATGTATGGTATTATTCAGTTTGGTAATAAATAATTGTTTGGGGGATTAAATGACTAAATGTGAGCTATGTCTCCAGAAAATTAGGCGTGTCAAAAGGGCACAGAGAACATCTTTTAACCGTTGCACACTAATATATGGGGTATTTCGAACCCTGCTAAGCAATAATTATTGGAAAGATATGATACATGAATTGCTTCATTTTGTACCAATTAGAATGTTTCAAACTAATGTAATCAAATCACATTCAGATCTCAGACCAATATGTGAGTTTTACCATATGAGTGAGAATGTTTTTTACGATTTTTATCATACAAAATCGATAATTCAGTGTGATCAAAGTGATTTCATGTCTGGTGTCGAAAAAACACAAATATTTCACACCAAATAAGTGTTTTGGGAACAGAAATCAAGCTTTCTTTTCCAATGTTAAAATCTGACTAAATTTCAGATATTTCATTCCAAATTAGTGAACTGTCACACATAACATAACAATCACAGTGCTACATACTGACTTGTGGTTTTGGTGTATCATTCATCCCAACAACGTGCAAGCTTTGAGATCATTTGGTTTTGTTAT